CCCCCCACCCGCACCTGCTCAAGGGCAGCCCGCACGGAGGGGCCGGGCCGAAGCCTTCCTGACTCCCCCTCCCTGAAGCGAGGCCTCGCCCCAGTCTCAGGGCGGAGAGCCAGCCCAGCCGGCTGGGCAGTCGGGGCCTCGGGCCTCCGGGGCTCCCACCCCGCCTCAGCCGCTAGTGCCCGTTGGTGCCCAGCAGCCCCGTCCAGGCCCGCCCGGGCCCAGTTCCACCCAGGCCACACCCAGACGCAGACTAGCCCCCCCCACGGCCCATCCCATCCGGACCAGCGCCAGGCCCAGGCCCAGAACCGGCCCTTCCTGACGGCCGCTGCCCGGTACCTGGCTCTGGGGCTGGCAGGACCGGCGCGCTCGGTTCAGGCTTCTGTCACTCACTTGGGGTTGGGGCCGCTGGTCTTTGGGGTGCTCTGGGCAGGGCGAGGGCGCTGCTTCCGGGTGTCCTGGGGCTGGCTGAGGGCTCTCCGGCGTCTCTTCGCCCTGCCCCCGGGCTTTCCGAGGCGGCTCTGAGACACCCCTGGGCGGGCAGAGACCTGCAGGGGCGCGTGTGGACCCCGGGGCCGGGCCTTGTGGCCTGGGGCGGGGCTGGGCCTAGGCTGGACCCTGGGGGATGGACCCTGGGGCGCGGGCTGGGCCCGGCCACTGCTGCTTTCCCACGGCCCGGAGGGCCCAGAGGCCCGGCCTGGTCGGCCTGCCTGTACCTCGGCCTCGGGGCTGCTCCCAGGACGGTCACCAGCAGACTGCCCAGGGCCAGCGGGTCTCGGGGCAGCTGTGCACCCAGGCCCCCCTGCCCTGGGGAAAGGCTGGCCGCACCCGAGGGCGGGGGCTCTGTGAGGGGGCTGTCCGCCGTCCCCTGGCCTCTCGGGACCCGGCTGTGCGCAGGGCACCGACGGCCACGAGACACGGGACGGCCGACGGCGCCGACGGCGTGTCCGAGGGGCGTCCGTGGGGGCCCCTGCAGCGGCCGTGATCTCCACAAGGTCACTGTCTCCCGCGCCCCTGGCGATTCCCGTTGGACGTCTCCCCGCGCGGGAGCCTCACGCAGGCCCGCTGCCCCCTCTGCCCCTGGCCTGGGCCTTCCCCGTG